CATCCTCATCCGAGGAAAGTGAAGATAGTGATAGGGAAGATCATTCAAATAGTATACAGAAAAAAAATGTAGATGATAAAATGACGAATTTGGATAATGAATCAGAAACATCCTCCTCCGAAGAAAGTGATGAAGATGAAGATAGTGACAGGGAAGACCATTCAAATGGTGTACAGAAAAAAAATGTTGATGATAAAAAGACGAATTTAGATGATGAATCAGAAACGTCTTCCTCCGAGGAAAGTGATAAAGATACAAAAATGTCAAATTTATCCGAAAAAAGTGAAGATAAAAAAATGAAAATTTTAGATGATCAGAGTGAAATTGAATCATCATCCGAAGAAAGTGATAAAGATAATAAAAATGGAAATTTAAATGATCAGAGTGACGCAGAATCAACCACTTCAGAGGAAAGTGATAAAAAAGATGATGCATGTGAGAATGAAAAAAACAAAAAGTTCAAACGATCAGAATGACCCGGAATTACCCAAATTAGAAAAAACTGATAAGAAAGATGTACGTAATTCTTCAAGTAGCATACTAACGAGTAAAAAAAGGAAAAGTAGTGCGGATGATTCTTCTGATAGTAATAATCAATGTCAATCATCACCTACTAAAAAGATAAATGCAGCTTCAAGGTATTTAATCTAGTGATATAAATCTACCACTTCTACCGGTAGGTGGCAGTTACTGGTATTAGTAGGTACTAGTAAGCACTATTCATATGATTATTTTTAACTACTAGTATCTATTATTTATATTTTTAACCTAACGGGTATTTAAACAGTATTCTATCAGTATCTACCAGTGGCACCATCTACCGGTATCTAACACTTTCACATCACTAATTTAATCATATATTAAATCTATTAGTATATCTATAAAACAAACTGGTGGACTTTTTATCCCATCTATAGTTCAGAAAAATAAAATGAAGAAAGGAAAGGCTAAAGATGTTAGTAATCTAATCTATTATTATGTGTTATTAATTTAATAAGAATTTTTTTTTTAATGATCTGACTTCTAGCTCACCAATAACGGTATGGAACAGCTAGAGAAAACTAAGAATGGATTTCATCAATCTCGTGTAAATTTTAATGAAATCAAATTTAATAATGAAAAGTTGAAAGATAACAGTTTTTTAGCTAAGGTAATTATAATTTTTGACTGACATTAAGATTAATACTGTATATTCATTTATTTTATTTTATTTTATTTTATTTTATTTTTATTTTATTTTATTTTTATTTTATTTTATTTTATTTTATTTTTTTTTGGATTCTAACTAATTTTTGGGAGGTGCAATTGGATCATTTGGTTACAAAGCATATAACGATTTTGCGACAACTAGGGGTAAAGATTTCCGTGCTCAGAAAACGAAAAAGAAACGTGGTTCATATCGTGGTGGTAAAATCGACTTTCAATCGCATTCAATAAAATTTGAAGATAATGTATGTCTTATATTTTGAACATTTTTATTTCAATTTTAAATTTCAATAACCTTTTAAATTTCTTTAATCTCCTACAAACATTACAGTGAGAATTATATACTATACTTCATTAATTCTCATAATTTAGTAAATAGCTTCATGTTAATTAAGGAATAATGAATAAAATTTATCCTAGAAAGCTTTACAATGCAGAAAAAAAAAAACCCCCCACGAATACACGAAATTTTTAATTTTGCTATAACAATAATAATATAAAAAGTTCTTGTCAAAGTCGATCTTTCGTATTTATCAGTATCTAACGTCTCTGTTTAAATAATGAACTATTGTACAACAGCATAACTTAGATACAAAAAACTTGGTAATATATATAAAAATATTTATATATAACTTTAATATACTGTAAATAATAAATATACAATTTGATTGGTTAATACTCACATGTAAATTCAAATAAAAAGACCAAATTTTGCAAATTAGCTGATATATAATTCTCCAAATATTAAAATATTTTAACTTTGTTAAATTTTTCGTTATATTTATTGAAACTGCTATCAATAGAAATAAAACAAATTAACATTTTAAAAAAAAGGGGAATTTACAAATAAGGGCCCAAAAATGTAAAATAATTACATATATGGGCCCTATTTCAATAAATTTTAACAGATTTTACTAATATCTCATGATACCGTAAACGAAATTTAACTATTTTGATACCATTCGAATCGTCTCATTGAGACGCATTGAATGGTACCAAATTCGCCAAATTTTAATTACTGGATTATGAGTTATTTAACATTTTCTAAAGTCTATTTAAACCGTAATATCTTGTTATCCCGTCATTAAAATTTAGCGATTTTAGTACCATTCGATCCGTCTCGACGAGGCGATTCGAATGGTATCAAAATCACTAAATTTCGTTTACTGTATCGTGAGATATAGTAAAATTTTCTAAAATGAGGCCCCTATATGTAATTATTTTACATTTTTGGGCCCTTATTTGTAAATTCCCCTAAATATTAATACTATACTGTATATACCTAAAAAAAATAATATTCTGCCAAGGGAAAATTTGGACCTCGAGTTTTTAAGTACAATATATTATTTATTATTTATCTGATTCAATCCTTCTTATCGAACAACACATTGAGCTTTAAATTATATGGAGTTTGTTATATAATTGAAAGCCGAAGGGCTGAATCAGATAAATAATAAATAATATACTTAAAAACTCAAAGTCTCATTTTTCACCTATATAAGGATTTAAAATAATGTACTGTACCCTACCCAAAAGTGTAATACATGTACCTATTACTGGGAACTTTACTTCGGAATGTTCGAATGTTTTTTTTTTTTTTAAACAAAGCAAAATACAAATGATTGTTTTGTGCTACATTACCATTAACCAAAATTCAGAGAAACAAGCAACTTTTTCGGCCCGTATATTTACATTAGCATCACGTATTTAAGTACGCTGAATTCGTTCATAAATTATACAATTTATTTTATTTTTTTTTCTTACGCTCAAAAATCAATTGAAATGGGAGATTCTGACAAAGTAAATACATTTGCATTAAGTGATCGATCAAATGAATCAAGAGAAACTGATCATGGTGTACTAACACAAAGGATTCTCATGAGTGGTATGGTGAAATCTCATCATAGTCTTTTGAATCCAGAACACAATCAAAGAAAAGAAATTAATGATTTTGACTATGAGGGGCATAAAAGAAAATTGGACGAAAAAGTTTCAAAGTTTAGAAAACGAACATATTCGGATGACGTCAATAAAGTTGTTCAACAGATAATTGAAATTTTAACTGCAAAACGATATAGAAGAGGTCCCAAAAAAAATTTCGAAGTGGCAAGAAGTGATTATGAAGAACGACTTGGCAAATCAGTTTCCAAAAAAGAAAAATTACTTTTAATTTTACCTTCATTTCCTGTAAAGTGCTGGTTAAGTATCAATTTAAAAGATTGATTACTCAATTCATGTATTGTTGTATTCAACTAATTGATTTTTTTTTTTTAATTTTTTAGGAATCCTCTTAAAGTGGAAAGAAAAATGCCCGACCTTGCCGAAATACAGTGCATAAGTCGCCTGTATTTATTGTGCAAGGAAATAGAGCATGTATACGAACCAGGTGCAAAAGTAATTTTAATTGCTGATGTTCCTATTTATGCTCCTATTTTTGCTGAACCTCTTAACGTCGCTCTTCAATATAAAAGCGAAGTTATTGGTTTTATAAATAAATTAAATATAGGTCAATATATTATAATGGGCGATATGATAGATTTAATTGCCCAATTTTCATCTGAATTTGAGGTTGCCAAAAGAAACGCGAAAATTCAAGTAGAAACTTTTTGGCATGAAAATCCTAATGACAAACATCGAATAATGCTCTTGGAAAATACACATAGCAATATTAACCTAACTGCATATTCAAAAGAAATATTACGAGCTATATTTTTTAATACGCCCTATATAAGATCTGATGAATTAGATATTGCTAAGGATGAAATTACCAGACAAACCAATAAAAGCGCTCTTGAATATGCAATTTTACTTCAGGCAATTAATTCCATGGAGCTGATAATGAAATGTTATCCTGACGGCATTAGGGTCACATGTCATCCCAAACCAGGACAATTAGGTTTACATTTACTGTCTCCAAAAAGTTGTTTCAATTTCCCCTGGAATGGGGTTGGTGTTTTGAAAAAGAATGGTGATATAAGAGTATCACTTGAGGATGAAGTGAAAAGAGATAAAAGATACGTCGCTGTTTATATAAAAAATGATTCTTTTCCCTTCTATTATGAAGAACAGTAAATGCTTATTTCCTGGGGGTGCTAATGCAGTCTAATTACTGCACATAGTGTAGGTGGTATAGCGATTTCGATTTTTTTATTAAAAATTCGAATTACAATTTCTCGTGAACTATTAAATGTATACAAATAAAATACATTTATTATTCTCTTAATATGTTTTTTAACGTAACAACGCCCTTGCGGCTCACCAACAGGTAATTTAACAGACGTCATACAACGTGGCATTTTAATATACAGTATTATTATTAACTATAAGTTATAATGTCCGTCGAGACTCTAAAAGATGCCGTTTTTCCTATTTAAAATTTAACGGATATCCGGATTCTTTATAATTATATATTTTGTTATATTTTGTTATAAAATTAAATTAACGTTAAGGTTTCCCGCCGTAATAGGTTTAGCAGAGTTGGAAAGTTGCAACCCTTTTTTTTATCTTGAAGTTGCTGTAATGGGTAATAGGTGTAATAGTTGTAAATAGATTTAACGGCTGTAATAGTCACTATTACAACCATTAAACAAGATTCAGTATAAGGTTGCCTGCCGTAATAGGTTTACTAGAATTGGAAGGTTGCAATAGTCGTAATAGTTGTAATGGTTGTAATGGGTGTAAAGGTCGTAATGGGCATAATGATCTGATTAACAAGTAATTGAGTGACGCAATCAGATATTAATGAGATTTCAGTGATTTTAAAAATTTGTATCATATAGATTATTACTGTATTACGAAATTAAAGAATGTCAGATATAAATTGCTAATTTCAAACAAGTACGCCAAATAACCATGTGCATTGACAGTAAACCATGACATGCACCAAATCTACAGTATATTACAACGCACCTCTCCATGTTAAGAATACTTTCAAAAGAAAACCAAGTTTTGATCTTTCGAGTTTATAACTTAACGAACTCAACCTCTAGTTACGTATTTAGATTTTTAGGGGCTGTGTCATTAAGTTATAAACTTGAGAACCCAAAGTCCACTTTTCTTCTGGTGGCATTTAAATGCAAACATTTAAAGATTATTAATTTAAAAATTTTAAAATATAAGAGTCGATTTTGGTTCACATGTAACTTATCTATCATTAAATTTGGTAAGCTATTACACGTTTGTAAGACATATTTTTACAACCTATTATGGCATTTACAACGATTGTAACAATTACAATCATTACGGCAATTACGACAGTTATAACAACCATTACGGCATATTTACAACTTTGAGTATTAGTTGTAATTAGGGTTGCAACCCAGGTTGTAATTCGTAATGTCTGTAATTATTACTTACGGCCGGCAACCTTAATCCGGTATGTTAAATTTTACAAGTTGTAAAAGTTAAGCGTACCGAATCCGGTTTATTGTTTGGTACTCTTATATTCTCGAGCTATGGTATATTTTTTTCACACAAATAATAAATAAAATAAAAAAAATTGAAATTTTAAATAGCAAATCTAGCAGATCGTAGCAACTCAATTAACTTTCTCCAGTTGTAAAAAAAAAGAGTTTTGAACCGATTTTATTTTCATATATTAAACCCGGTTCAAACTCTGTCAGCCAATCATATAAATTGCCCACCTATGATTGTTACACAGAATCTGAATATTTCATTATAAAAAGGAGTTCTCTACTCAAATACACAACGACAAGCAAAAAATGAGTAATTACGGAACTCCAATGGAGATTGATGTACCTGCTGGCTCAAAAGTAAGTGGTAGTGGCAAGGCTAAGGAGAATAAGAAACGTTTTGAAGTAAAGAAGGTATAAATTGTTAATTTGCTTACGGAGTTGTTTGTCCGAGAAAATTTAAAGTATAATAATATTGAATAAATAAAATTATCGATCTTTTTTTGTTTAGTGGAATGCCGTGGCACTATGGGCTTGGGGTAAAAAATGATTTTATTACATAAAATAATCATGATCTTTCAATAATATTCGTTTGCTAAAATTAACGTTTAATTTTTTTGTAGATATTGTGGTTGATAACTGCGCCATTTGCCGAAACCATATTATGGATTTATGTAAGTAAATTCGTTTAGCTTTGTATTAGGTTAATTTAAACACCTAAATATTATTTAAATTTTGCTGGGGTTTCACTTGTGTAAAAGATCAGTGTGTTGATAATTAATGTTGATCTTAAAATTTACAGGTATAGAATGTCAAGCGAATCAAGCTTCTGCAACTAGCGAAGAGTGTACGGTGTAGGTTTTCTGTCTATATTTCCTTCATATAATAATCTGACTTCTTGATTCTAACACAAAATTATATAAATTATAACAGAGCTTGGGGAATGTGTAATCATGCGTTTCATTTCCATTGTATATCTCGTTGGCTAAAAACTCGTCAAGTTTGTCCTTTAGACAATAGAGAATGGGAATTCCAAAAGTATAATATTTATTTTATTTCTTGTTTTTCAAACGGTGATATAACTTAACTTCTTTTTATATTATTTTCAGATATGGTCGATAACTTATTTTCAAACAGAATAGCCTTTGATTCTGCTACGACAATAGAATACTGCCTTGGGAACTCATTTTGTTATAATATTGATTTATAATGGAAAATTTTTTTAAACTATTAATTTTTCACTTGATATAATAATAACCAAGATTTTTTTTAAAAAAATATTATACATTTATAATTAAATTTACTCTTTATATAATAAAGATTTATATGTGTAATAATTTTTAGTCAATTATATTAATTTTAATATACTTTTGATATAAAATCTCATGATAAAAATTTTTATTTTATATGAACTTAAATGACATTATATCTAACAAAGTCATTCTTTATTAATAAAGAGAATTGCTATTTCCACTCCCTACTTTTGCTAATGTCACCCTCCAAAATACATAAAAGTGCTTCAGAAGAGATATTATTATTAAGTAAACCTCTTTTTTGGTATTAATTAAAGTTGTTTATTAGATCTTTCTGGTTCTAATAGTAATAAAATCATTAAGATCGGATTGGTGGTTCTTAAAATATTTATACCTAAATTTTATAATCTTCAATTCACTTTTAAAAAAGAACTACCGGTTTGATTTTAATAATTTTACCACCATTAGAACTGGAAAGATCTATTAAACAACTTTAATTAATACCAAAAAAGAGGTTTACTTAATAATAATATCTCTTCCGGAGCACTTTTATGTATTTTGAGAGGTAGCATTAGCAAAAGTGGGGGTGGAAATAGCAACACTCTTAATAAATTGAAAAAAGAGTCTGAATCAGTAATTGAAACTCTGAAAATAAGATTGAATTTTTACGCGATGATACCTTTCATATTGTTGCGACTGAAATTTTGTTCTCTAATTTATTATTAGCATGATTACCATTAAGATATAATTATGCTCGATGATTGGCTGATTATTTAATAAAACCGAAAAATAACAGATAAGGATAATCGATAAATAAATTTGATTAATTTTTTATTCCACATCTCTATCGTATTGTACGCAAAGGTAATTTTTTAAAAATTATATTTAATATGAAAAATAAAATATAAAATAAAAATAAAAATGATGATAAAAAATCGAATTTCTTCACTTTCCGAGAATTGAAAATCGATATGAAGGACATTTAGGACACCTACTGACTACAATTTTTTTTATTTTTTATTTTATTTCATTTTTTTTTTTTTTTTTGTATAATAAATTTCGTCACATTAATTATGTATCTTACTCTTTATTTTATAAATGATTTATTGTGAATAGGTTCAATTTTTAAGACGGATGGCTGAATAAATATGTAATATAATATAAAAGTTATTTACTTTTGTTAAATATTGTGATTTTATCTAAAATCAAGCTAATTTGGAATTTCTTTAATTTATAAAAGATATTAAAAAAAAAAAAAAAAAATCAAATTAAATCATTTATAATTGCCAACGATTGAAATTTAATTTTATTAAAAGTTAAATTACTTTGTCTTTCATACACAAATGTCCATCCTACTATCTCGTGTAATTCGTGCTTTGGAAAAAATAGCTCCCCTATCACTCGCAGAATCATCCTGGGACAATGTCGGCTTACTTGTTGAACCTCCATATCCTCGTCCAGATTCCTCTCGAGTATTTTTAACAATCGATCTAACCTCTTCAGTACTAGAAGAAGCTTTAGTAGATCCAAAAGTTGGTGTAATAATAGCATACCATCCTCCAATTTTCCGGTCCTTCAAACGACTTAATTCAAACGATATTAAACAAGCTATAATAATGAAATGTGTAGCGAAAGGGATTGGAGTGTTTAGTCCACATACTGCTGTGGATTCTAGTGTTGGTGGTGGTATGCATCAGAAGACGGATGTGTCTAAGATTTTCGAATGAGATGTTATAATTTGCTTTTTTAAATAGTGAATGATTGGTTATCAAAAGCTCTTGGCGCTGGAACTTCTAGACCTATAACTCCTGCTGTAAATCCGCCTATAGGTTTTATCTCAAATTTGTATATTATTATATCATTTTGATAATTATGCTTCTTAAATTAAAAAGTGGTTGATTAAGAATAGGTCAAGAAGCAGCTGGATCAGGAAGACTGTTTACATTATCACAACCTGTACCTCTCTCAACAGTTATTGAGCGAGTTAAACAATATCTAAAACTTCAACATGGTAAGTTACTTTAATTTCACTTATTTAAAACTAATCACCTGTTTATTACAATTAATGAATTTTTTATGGTAAATAAAGTTAGAGTAGCTACGGCTGAACGACATAGTTCAATTGCCAATGAATTAATTTCGACTGTTGGAATTTGTGCTGGTTCTGGTAAACTAATAGATTTTTTTTTTTTTTTTTTTTGAATTTTATTTTTATTTAAACTTAGATTAACAATGGTCAAACAAAAATAAAAAAGGATCAAGTGTACTTTCTTCAGCTACTGCAGATTTATATTTCACTGGAGAAATGTCGCATCACGATGTACTCGCTGCGTTAAGTAAAAACACCAGTGTAATTCTATGTATGTAAATTCTTTTTTTACAAGTCATTTTATTCATTCATAAAAAAATATTAATATGGTTTTGTTAATTAGGTGAGCATTCTAATACTGAAAGAGGTTATCTTTCTGAAGTACTTAAACCTCATATTGAAAAATTATTACAAAATGATGGTGAAACTGAAGCTGTTGATGTAGTAGTTAGTAAGATGGATAAAGATCCTTTAGAAACCTTTTGATTTAAAATAATGAAGGAAAGCTAATCGCAAAACAGGTTATTCGTCTTTTAATCTCTATATTTTTCTATATGTAATCAATCTCTTTAAGTGCATGCCTAATAAAATTCTCTAAGTGCAAGATCAAATTTTAGGCCCAAGTATATAGAGCAATATGAAATTTCTCTCTAAATACTAAGTGTAGTCCATTGTATAATTATTTAATAAACTTCAACATTTTAAGTGGATATAATATATACTGTAGTTTACTTGCTTTACAGGGTTTGATATGTTAACCCTCGCAAGATTAGCAAATATCTCACATAAATCCTATATAAGAATATAGAGACCTGCGGGTCTAATGTATATGAATAAATTCTGACTGACTAAATTTAATAATAAATATAAAATCACTAAAGTTTTGAATTTTACTAAAACGCACCTATGCATGCATTATCTCAAAAACTGGCTAATTAATCAATAAGAGGTGTTCTAAGTAAAAATGTTCTACGTCCTTGAAAACCCTTCTCAAACCCTAATACTACCTTAAAAACTAACCCAAGATGAAAAAATTTAAATCAAAAATTTCTATAATAAAACTTATAAAATTTAGAAAATTTAAAAAACTTAATAAAAACATATAATAGGTACAAAACACCATAGGTGCGTTTTAGTAAAATTCTTATGTTTTTATTAAATATTGATACAGATTTTGTAATCTAATTTCTATTATTATTTTTTTGAATAGCGATATATTTTAAATAATTAATCGAATAGGTTAGCCAAGTGGATCCGTTAAATTAAAAAATACTACGTATAAATGAAACTGATTTTACATGTTACGCTCATTTCAAATTCTGACAATTATTAATGATATTAGTGTTAGTAAATTCTAATATCGAATTGATCAAAAAATTAGCAGCAAAAATTTTTTTAAAGCTTTGAGCAAAACATTTCGATAACTGTCAATGAAATTTTGTTCATTCTAATTCTACTTGTTCGTGGAATTAAAACAATTTTCCATTGAATTTAGTTGTTGAGAAATTTCGCTCAAAGTTTTGCAAAGTTCAAAACTAGAAGTTCCAACTAAAAATTTTAAACTTTTAGAAAAATTTGAAAAACTACTATTAGAATAAAAAAAAATTCATCGAATTTAGGTAAGGCCATACAAAAAAAAATTTCTTGGTTTACATAACCCGGCCGGGTCGAAATTTTCAAAATTTTATACAATTTTATGTATAAAATTTGAAAAAAAAAGGCCGGGTTGCCGGGTCTGTTTTAATGAAGACCAAATAAATTATTTTATATGGCCTAATTATCAAGATATCCAAAATTTTGCAATAAAATTTTTTTTAAATCTTTTGGCAAAGTTATCCCAACAACCTAACCAAATTCAATGAAATTTTTTTTATTTTTCATTTTACATATTCAAAGAATTAAAGAAATAAATTTTACATCGAATCTGGTTGAGGGTTATCACTCAAAATCTTTCAAAATTCAAATTTATTAAATAGAAGTCGCGATAAATTTTTAAAAATTTTAAGCGAATATTTCAACAATCACATAACTTCTAAATGCTTTCTAATATTTTGTTTTACATATTTTCACTATAAGATTTGAGATTTGAGGACTTCGTCGAATGTTAAAAAATAACCTTGTCTAAATTTAACTGTAAAGAACCCTTAAGGGTTAAAATGTTTAAATTGTCTGTATACAAGTCATCCTTACATATTTAAATTTAATGCTTGCAGCCCAGCATGCACCACATCACAAAGTATGCATTCAAATTATTTGAAATACTAGATTCGTCACATTACTAAAGAACTGAAAAAATAAAATTGTTCATGAGAAAAAAGATTGTATATCAGATAAAGAGTAAAATTACGAATATGTATATTATCTACCTTTATGAAATATTGTTGCCCAATTAGATATATGACTCTGGAGTTTCAGCTGCAATGTCACTGACAACTCATTGCTCACCATAGGTAGATCAGAATGCTCAAAAACTAATTGATTCTTATTACTCAATTTAATTGGGTCCGAGATAAGTTCGACCCACTCTTTTAAAGCAAATTTGTTCAAGTTTTTCATTTCCGAAATTGAATTTTTATTCAAATCCAATCGTGATTTAATTGCGAGAATTTCATAATTTTGTCCGATTTTAGCAACGCCAGAAGCAACATAATGAATGCCTGGTAATGGCTAATAAATAAATATATATATTTTTTTTGAAGAAATGTATTGAATTAGAAATAAGAGTTTGGAATCAGTTTTATTTTTCACAAGTTAGAACCAGTTTGACATGATGAATAAAATCAGTTTCAAAAACCTCTTAAATTAGAAACATTTAAAACTTACATTTCCCGCTTTACCAATAATCCATTTTCCGTCATCCCAAATTCTAGCAATATATAATTCATCCCTATTACCCTTAATTAAACAATTATCAATGTTAGTTGATGTAAAAATTTTTTTGCTCTCATAAATATATATACCGATATATATATATATATATATATATTTACATGTTCAGTACCAACTTTTAAGGGAGTAAAATTAAATTTTGTTTGATCTAGAGTACCAGACCTATTAAAAAGAAATAAGAATGAATTAAATAAAGTTTTACAGAAATATAACAAAGCACAACTTACATAGGAATCCAATCGAATAAAGTTTCATTTTCGGTTAAAGCACTATAACCTCGAGCCGGAACCAATACTTCATATTTTGAAATTAACATTTGTTGATGACTATGTTCGACAACTAAAGCTTTCTTTGATTTACTGATATATCCAGGTTGTATACCACCATATACATCGATGCCACGTCCAATTGCTTTTCCGCTTACACGAAATGCATTTTCAGGAATATATCCTTTACTAGCTGACACCCATTGGATGGCCTTATTTAAAATTTACAGTTAAAAAAAAAAAAAAAAATTATATATTTGTTTCAAATTATAAACTTTAATATAAATACCGGATGGTCTTGACCGACATGTGGGAAAGGCATTCTTGGAATTGAAATTATAAGATATTACGGCAAGAAGTATTTTTCTCCGTTACAGTGAATCTGTGCCAAGTTTGATGATTTTCTATGTGTAACACCTGCATATCGGTGCCTAGTTTGGTTAATGTTAATTAACTTTAATTATGGCGTTTGAAAAAAGGTGCGACCTTGCAGATAAAATATAACGTTATCAACCTAAAAAAATTTGCCTCATGATTAGGTGTAACATAAAATCAAAACAAAAAAGCACTCAAACTCTGACCCAAGCGTTGAGTGCATTTTGATTTGATTTTATGTTACACCTGATCATGGACATTTTGACAAAAAATAAATTGTATTTACTTAAAATTTTATTAAGAAATATTCTAAGCAAAAGTGTTTAGAATTAAACAGTGTATATATTCATATAGTTTTTTTTATTTTAATTAATTATTAAAATATTTAAAGTTATGAACACCTTGGACACTTGGACGTTCAGACATGGAAAAAGGCCTTGGATGTCCAAAATTTACAACACTGGTTTAACCTTAACAACTATTGTAATAGTGAAATTTTCAAGTTGGTAACACTAGGGTCTTATCAAGAAGTTTTTTCGCGCGAACAATTTGTTTCATGGTTTGATCTCGGCCGTCTCGCGAGCGCTAGGAATTCTCGGCACGTCGTTGGGTCATGTGGAATCACAAAAAATCAGCAAATTTTTGCAAAATCTGTCGATATACAATAGCGATAGCAAATTTAAAACGAAATCACAAGGTCACACCTTATTTGCAAACCATCATAATGGGGGTTTCAGAATTAATAAAAAATAGCGTATTTCTAAAATAAGTAAGAGTTTAAAAAATCGAATTTGCAATTAAGTAAGAGAAAAACATGGGAGTGTCTGGAGACTTCCATTTCATGAAATAAACCTTTTTGTTTGTTTATGAATGTAATAGTAGTCAAAGTAGTTTTAAATCGTAATTGATAATAAAAATGATTACATAAATAAATAAGAGTTGATTAAAAATTAAATGAGACTTTTAAAAAGTTTAATTCGACAAAAAATACGTTACTTATTTCAACTGAAATTAGATACCCATAAATTAATAATTCTGAAACCACCCAAAATAGAAAAGCCAAATACAGAAATATAATTCTTCAAATTTATAAAATTTTAATAATACCCTGGCTCAACTCTCTCACATGACTTTTATCAGGAGAAAATTTGCAACCAGTTAGTATATTTTAAACTCAGTATATTATGAAGTAAAATACACCGGTTTTTTTTTACTATGTGCACATATAAAATGGGAAAGTATTATTATAGTCTTTAAATACAGTCAGGATATTACCCTTAAATAACAACCCAGATAGC